TTCTTCTCCATGCCAGGTGGGTCAGACTCCTGGGGCTGGTTAGCCCCGGCCTGGTGTGGTGGATGGAGCATCAGGCAGTGTGTGAGAGTACAGGCTCAGCCTCCTGGGCTAAGGACGAGGCTGAATTTCCCTCATGTGGCTTTTTCCAGCTGTTTGGGGGATAAATGTAACCTCAAAGTGGGGATTCCCAGGGCAGCTTGCTTTGATTCCACAATGAAAACCTGCTTTCCATCTCTGCAGAGAGCAAGCCACCTGGGGTGGGTGGTGCTGGTGTGTGAATGACGGGGTTTGCGTGCTCATACCAGGCCCTGACCCGCAGAGCTGCTCAGGCACTGCTCTCCGGCCTCACACCTGCCCTCCCTCCCCGGGCAGCCTGTGTGTCCCCGGGGGGCTCGCAGGGTGTATCTGCCTCTGCACTGCCTCAGGGCCCTAAGGCATGGGGCTGGGCAATAAGTCCTATCCTGCTTCACTGCAATCTCTGCAAATATTGTGGCTAATCAATAAATACAACACTAACAGCAGGTGGGTCAGGGATGGTTTCTTACCCTGCAGTAAGGGTGGGCTCTGATGCTCTGTAGTCCCCCCTGCTGACCCCACAGGCTTAACTTACCCCACAGTGAGCATCTCGGCTTCTCAGGACAGCTGCTGCTATCACAGTGGTGTTCAAAGAAGCAGGTCCTGAGAACCTGCTCGATCAGTTGTTTCAGCAAGGGCTCTTCAGACTCCTCATCCCCCTGATGCTGAGCTCCAGGGGAGCAGCACTGCGGCAGGCGAGGTGTGCTCCAGCTGCTCCCTGCCCCCAGCAGCTGCCTCCTTTGGTGCTGCTTTGCTGCTCAGCTGAAGTTTCGCCCTTTGCTACTGCCTTAGGCTGCCTGGCCGTTTATTGAGGGGAAGAAGAGAGGACTGAATAATTTTGGAGATAAGATCTGAGATGCAGTCAGGTGCCAGGATGAACTGCACATGTACCTCTGAGAGCAGAGTCAGTCCCTTAGCCTTGCTGGTGGGTGACTTGGGCATCCTGCATCCAGTTGTGCCGCTGAGCCCAAGTCTTGTGTTCTCTAAGACAGAAAAGCTGCTGCTTTGATTTCCTGCCTGGAGATTGCTGCAGGACGGTGAGCTGTGATTTCCCTGTCTCCTGTTTGATGGCTGATCTCGAAACAGTGGCTGTTTGCAGTTAGGCTTATAGATCACGGTCCTTGCTCAAAGGAAGGAGCTATGATTGAAATTTTCACAGCAGCATTGCATCAGCAATGTTACAGCACGCTGACTGGCAGCTCAACAAACCGAACAAGATTAAACACAGGGACAGCAACAGGTCAAGTATAAGTTTAGTATCTTGTTCGAAACAGGAAAGGAAAATGCTGTAATGCAGATGGCCATGGTGCCACCTTGGTGATGGTATTAACCATCCCATGCAAATTGCTGTTCCTGTCAAGTCAAGGTTTCTTCTTGCTCTATGGGAGAAAAGAGCATTATCTGAGCAAGGCAAGATGCTTTTTTTGTGGGTAACAGTGCTGTGCCCTTCAAATGATATCTGCAATGCTATTTAGAAATGAGTGTTAAAGTTAAAAGGCAACACTGGCCCTGAATATGGGGTCTCTTCCAAGGTGAGCAGAACTTTTGAAATAAGATGCTATCCTGGTTCAGCTCGGATAGGGTTAAGTTTTCCCCAGCAGAGAGGGGGAAGGGATCTCCAGCCAGGTTATTCATACCATGCTGATGTCAGGTCCGGGCGCAGGAGCGCAGGATTTCTTTTTCCTTTGTGGCTTTGGTCACGGGCAGCATGGGGCTGTCTGTAACCATCGCGGTATTTCTCTGTATATCTTTTGTCTGGTTTACTATTATTGCTGTTTATTGTTGTTATTATTGCTACTGTTGTTGTTCAGATTGTTTTATTACTCTGTTGTATTAAATTTCTTCTTATCTCAACCCGGGGTTTGTGCCCTACTTGTATCCGAGGGTGGGGGAGTGACAACAGCAACGTGGTCTCTGGTCCCGGCAGGGCCTAAACCACCACAGCCTTTTTGGTGCAGCAGTGTGGGGCACAAGAGGGTTGAAATAAGAATCAAAAAGGGACAGACCCTGACCAGAGTGTGCTAGAGCAATCTGTTGGGTGCAATTTTTCTGTTTGTATTTGTACTGTTTGATAAGAAAATATTTGCGATGCTGGCCCACTTGCTTGCCTGGTGGAGCTGGATTATTCCTTATATCCACTGTGTGTTTCCCAGTGCTGGTGTTTGTTATCAGTGGAAAATGTGTAAAGGGTCTTATTTTGCTGGGGGGAGGGGGGGAGGGCCGGTACCTGTTTGCTGTTTGGGCTTTTGTTAGGGGTGTCACACCCTCTGTGGGTGAGCCAGGGGAAGAGGTCCTCTCGGGTTTTGGGAGTTTCAATTATCCTTGGAGCCTGCAGGTCGCTGTGATTGCAGCACAATGCTTTCTGAATGTCTGCCAGATCTTGTTTTGGGCCATGTGGCGCTTCTCTAACAATAGCAGTGTCCAGAAATCTGCCCCGAGGTCAGATAATAGTGAGTGGCAAGGGGTGTGGGAAAAGATGGGCAAAGTCCTGAGTCGGTGGGCACCTCCAATGCTTTGGAATTTCACTCCCGATCAAGTGCAGAGCCCTGATAAGCTGATGGATTGCTTAGAAAGGGTGTGTTACCAAGCGGGCAAAACCCAGGAGACACAAATCACTGCAATGTGTTGGGGACTTGCCCATGCCCACCGTGTCCTCTTTAATACCACCCACTGCCCTCAGGGGGCAGAAAAGGCTACAGAACCTGAGAGTGAAGTTACTGGTACAGTATCCGGGCCGGGGTAAAATGCAGAGCCAGTCTCAGTTGCCTCCACCAGCACAGCGACTGAGCCAGAGACCCAGCCAGTGATGCTATCAGTTGCCCCGATACAGAAAACAAAACATACCAGAGAGTCAGCTCGCAAAGTGGGGCATGAGGATGAGCCAGGCCCAGCACGGGAACAGATGCACAGGCTTAACTCTTTCCAGAGCTGTCTCACCAGAGCCTCATGGTGCTCCAAAAGCTCACCTTTAGGCTTAAACCATTAGTTTAGGTTTTAAAGGCCATGTTTTGCTAATACAGCAGTACCAATTTGCTGATTTCCAGCCAGTTTGGTCTTGCCAGAGCTGGAGGGAACCATTCATTGTAGCCACCTGTGCCTGGAACCACACAGCATCAGTCATGAGCAGGGGTCATGGCCAGGAGCGTCAGTCTTGCCCTGGTGACAGGTTGTACCAAAACCTGAGGAAGGTGGAAGGCTACGTCCCTCCCAGTGTCGCACAGGCTTAGGTCCAGCAGGCTTAAGTCCAGAGCATGTGGCTCTTAGAAAGGGGAGCAGAGGTGTGGAGGAGACCTTGGAAAAGGTGCCTGAAACCTGGCCACAGGGGGGAGTTTGGTTTTTATGACGTAAGGTATCTTATATGAGTTCACACCCTTTCAGAATTGCTGTTTTTCAGTAATGGAAGAAATTGTTATCCTGCTTGTCTAGGGAAACTAAACTTGCCGTATCATGCTGCACCTGTTGGCTAACTGAATTAAAGAAGGGTAGAATCTTCAAGGCAGTTATGCTCCGAGAAGAGTGACTCAGCCAGGTGCTTTTTCCAAAGGAAAAGCAGGAGGAGTTTGGTTATCAAACCAGGTGGCCCTGATCTCCCCAGCCCAGCGAGGAAGCGCAGATGGGATCTGGAGGGGTGAGCTATGGACCAGGGACACAAATGGAGACAAGTTTTGTTAGCTCGCTCAGCAGTCTGCTATTGGCTGAACCAAGCTTGACAAGTTAGGCTCTGTTGTCAGTGGCAGTGAGTGCCACGCTACCTTTTTTTAGAGGCTCTGCCTTTTGATTTCATAAAACATCCCCTTGATGGTGCTCTGGGGCAGAGGCTAAACCGAAGTGGTCCCCATCCGTGCTTTTAGCAAGGAGATGCTGGTGCTGAGGTGCCAGGAGGAAGCTGGTGGTTGGTGGGAGCATCTAGCCAGCCTCATGCCCTGACCTCCACCTCCTGCTGGGGCTCGGGGTGGTCTGGGGCTCTCTTCTGCCACTGGCAGTTTGTGCGGATAAAGAGTACCTTTGAAATGAAGAACGCAGGGTCCCCCACCTCAGGACTGCTGAAACACCTGGGATGTGGCTCTGTGCACAACTGATGTGGGACGGGGTTTTATTTCCCCTTCATGTGCAGCCTCCATGAGGAGCGATGAGTCGGCAGACAGAGGTGTGAATGCTCCCTCGCTAGGGCTGTGGCTTGGTAAAGTACAGCTGCATTTTAATACTGAGTTCTGCTTCCTCTTTCACTTGTGCAAGGCCGGAATGACCAGATCCCTTAATTAACTAGCTTTAAGCAGCTTCAAGAGAACTGAGTGTGGTGGCTCCTCAGTTGTCCCTTAGGGCATCCATCCCATCCCAGCCATCAATGCCATTCCATCCATCCATCCATCCATCCATCCATCCATCCATCCATCCATCCATCCATCTCTCAGATGCACAGTGGTGTCTTAGATCCAAATTCTGGCAGCTCTTATTGGCGATGGCAATCTGTCCTGGGAGAAGCTAATGATCTCAGCATTGAACTTCTTGAATAAGTGATTGACCCCCACCCTTGCCCAGCACTCAGGGACTCTGTGCAACCTCCTACAGGGACAAAAATAGCCACTGTTTTTGTCTATCCAGTGCACAGGGCTACTGGGTTGTGTTCTGGAGCATTCAAGGATAAGCGAGTAGCAGGGACGTTATCAGAAGTTAGATCATGGTCTTCAAAGTGGAGGGAATTTTTAGCGTGGCTCCAAGAGATTCCTTGTCTCTGGGACGCAGCCTGGATCCATGTAGGCAGAAGCTGACCTGGAAACCTGAGTGAGTCTGGCCCGGCAGAGCCTTTTGGTCCCAGCAGGTCTCCTGTTCAGTGGTGCACTGTGCTGCCCTGTGCTGCCCCTTGGACCCACACCAAATGCTAATGGAAAGAATGAGGACACGATGCCATCCCTGCTCCTCTGGAGTGGGCTGTTGGCCATGGCTCACCCTGGGAAATTCAAAGTCTGGCTCCATCGAGACAGCTTCTCATTATTCCTCTGTCATAGCTTCTTGGGTACAATTTACTGCCTGGCTTGTTGCCAAGCTTTGATAAATGAGCTTTGCCAGATAGCAGACATGAGATTCACCTCTGGGGTGGAGCTATCAGGTCTCCTTTTCCAGTGAGCTAACATGAATCAGAGGGCAAAGAAAAGCTAACAGCCACTGGTTGGTGTGAACGCCTTGGTTGGGTAGCCCTCGGCTGGTGGCAGCGCAGTGGATGCCTCTGAGGCTAGTGATGAGCTGTGCACGGGATGCAGGGGCAGCAGAGGAGGGTTGGTGGGATCCTGTGTGAGGCCCCAGAGTTTACCCTGTGCTAACAACCTTCCTTCATCCCATTCTCATCTTGCTTTTTTTAAGACTTACTTTTGCAGCTCTAGAGGACAAATTAAATGGAGCAGAGTTGATTGATTTTGCCAGCACTTGGAATAATGTTGATGCCTTTGGCATGCTCCACCTGCGATGCAGGCGTGCAGACCTGACCTGCTCTCCATGCAGGGCACAGCCAGCCTAAGGAGCTATCCGAGCTGGGGCATCCTACACACGCTGCTGGGATGCTGCCTGCTCAGCAAGTTTTTTGCTTCCCTGGCCCCAGAAATTCTTACCCTTGCTAGCAGAGGTCGCTTTGGGGGGTTATTTAAAATGCTTCCCAAGACTTCAAAGTGCTGCTCGGTTTTCTGACGCTCTTTTCCCTTGGGCTGGCTGGTGCCCAGTTAGAGCTGAGTGCTGCCAGCCTGACGGATGGAAACTCGAGCTAACCTCACCTGGATCGAGCATTTGCTTGGATCATGTCAGGCCCCCAAGCACACTGTTGCTTTCCATTAAAAAATAAAAAAGGCAGGGGGAAACCTCTTCTCTTACAATACTGCAGAGTTTTGGGTGAGTAGTGCCTGTCACCCCAAACACAGCACTGAACCGTGGGGTGCAGGCACCACCACCACCGTGATGGACACTTGGAAGCTGTACATCTGCCTCCCTGTGTGTTTCCTGCTGGCCAGGGAGCACGGTGTGCGTTTCCTCTCTGCAGGCTTGCTCCCTGGGAACGTGGTTTTAGAGGGGCTGGGGTCCAGCACCTTCACTGCCCCAACTGTGGAGGAGGGTCCATGAGAAACCAGAGGGAAGAGAGTGCTTGGAAGCTCGGGCTGTGCCTACAGTACACATGTCTTCCAGTTTGCTTTCTGCTTATTGCTTTACTGCCCTGCTATGAACATCTATAGCTGAATTTTCCAAAGCAGAAGGCACTGGGGCACCTCACTGCAGCTGGTGATCAGTGGGAACCGAGTGCTTCGGTTCTTCGGGGGCTGTTGAGAAGCACTGAGTAACTTGGGAAAGAAGACGTTGGTGTCTGGGTTTTGATCAGCCCGTTTTGCAGAGTTACTCTTCAGGCTCTCAGCAGTATCCCCCAGCCGTATGGCTGCTGCGGTGGGATTTGAGCAGCCCTGGCTTCTTGTGGCCTTGAGCCTTTATGCCAACCCAGCCACCATTGTCAGGAAGCCAGGAGAGGTGAAGTAGCTTCCCTTGGCGTGCGCTCCAAAAGAGAGACTGGAGGAGGAATAACCTCCTCCAGAGGATGAGCATCCCTTGGGTTGGGCAACACGGGGTTAATGAAGTGAGTCTGTTAAAGGAAGGTAAAATACAGGTTGTAGAAGCTCCTGCATAGTTGTTGTTTCCAGCTTGGATTTAGGGAAATGGAGCCTCTCTGGTTTTTATCCTCATATCTTCAGTCCTTCCTTTTCCTGCACCCCCACAAGAGCCCGGGGTCCGTGCTTTCCATGCTAAGTTAGTGTTTGGCTTGTCTTACAGGCTCGCGAATGCTCGTGCTGGAGGATTGAACCCAGTGAAGGAGTGATTCCTCCTGAGACAGAGGTGTCTGTGGCTGTCATAGCCAGCTTGGATGACACAGAGAAATTCAAGGACGAGGTGAACCTGTCCATAGAGAACAGCCACACCTACGTGATCCCCGTCAGGGCTGTTGGCATCGGCACCACGATTGTCGCCGACAAACCCTTTGCTCCGGAGCTCAACTTGGGACCCCACTTCAGGTAGGGTATCTGTCAGCTTCTGCTGTGGGCTCAGCAAGGAGCAGTTTTGCTGTATTCCTTCAGGCTGGTTGTTCTTCAGCACTCAAGGCCCTGGCTCCGTTTTCCTGAAGCCACAGGGCTTCCTTTAGAAACCTTCTATGGCCATTTGAAAGTTGTTAGATACCCTCAAAAGCCACCAAAATGGAAACAAGTTGTTAAATTGTCACTGACTTGTCTTTAGTTATAATACATCTATTTCCTCACGTGAACAAAAAGAGATTTGGAGGAAAACAGCAGGTCCTGGAAGCCTCTGGGTGGAAGATGCTACATTACAAGTATAAACATATTTCCCTTTGCAATAATGTTGCTTGTTTTTCCCTTCCCTGCGGTGTATCATCTCGCAACAGCAGAAAACCTTGGTGGTAGCTTGTTAGCAGGTCCTTGACTAAATTAATGGTGCTGTTTTGTTTGCCCTCTGCCCAGTGGTCCTGGAGGAGCAGCAGAATTTCTTTGCCCCATGTCATCCCTCATTTGCTCGCCTTCCCCGTCTCCCCTGCCGGGCTGCTCTTCATCAGACGTAGTTGCTCTTCCCTCGTCTCTCCCACCGGCTTTCCTTGGCGTCGCTGCTGCAGCGGAGCCTGAGGCGAGGGCAGGCAAGGTTGGCACTGGACCAGCTCTGGAAGGGAGAGGAGGAGAAGTCCACTGAGTTTGGGCAGGATAAATGGAAGGTGTTAATTAAAGAGCTTGGCTCAAAGGAGGGGGTTCACTGGTCCTAACGCCTCTATCTGACCAGGCCTGTTCCTGTAAATGGGAGAAAAATAAGCCTTTTCAAAGTGCTGCCTGCTTTGTGTCGGACACCTCTTAGGACGAGAAAAATAGTCTTCTTGAGGTGCCTGTTCCTTTCCCTGGCTGCAGAGTGTCCACAGCAGTCCAATCCCTAAATTTGGGGGTAGAAAGAGCAGGTTGATCCTACTCTTCAGGATAGATTTTTGGGGGTTTAAATAAGCATGCACAAGCCAACCACATGCGCAGGGACATTGCAGGGAGTTTGGTGCTTGTCCGTCGTGTCCTGTGCTCTGTGCAGCCACAAACTGGCTACTCAACAGAGTGGGCGATGTCAGTGTGATTTGTGTCATCATCCTCTGCCCCCCTTCACATCTTGCTCTGCAGACTCTGGAGTTGTTGCCTTTGCTGTCAGCTGCAAAGCTGCCGCCAGGTGAGCTGAGACGGGACCCAGGTAACATCTCAGATGAGTTGGGCTTTCCCAGAGCCACAAATTCTGCATCCACCCAGAGCTTCTCCAGGCTTTCGTCTGTGCTGTCCACCACAGAAACCTTTTCACACTAAGCTTGTACGCATCATGTTTTAACAGTCTGTTTCAACAGCTGGTTTGTTCTGTTCTTGGCTCCGGTCTGTGCATTTAGCTGCCTGGGGCAGGCATGCATTTTGTAAGCCGTGTATTCTGTCCTTTTCAAAAAATCATTAACTGTTCCAGGAACAATTCACGTCCTGGTCATGCTCAGATTTATAGAGGGTAAAATAATTACTCCAGATGAGCCTGCAGTTTGTGTTTCTTTACATGAAGAAATCAATTTCCATTGAGTATTCATTTTGGTTTATATCTAGCTCTAGTTATTCACCTCTCATCCTTGCACCATCCCCTCAGCATCCAGACTTGGTCTTGCTGCCATGTTTGATTTGGGGAAACTTCTGTTGATCCTATGTTCTCAAAGTGCATTTATCTTCCTAAACCACAGCACCAGCTGCACTGTTCAGGAAAAGGACGATGTGTTGGGGGTGATGAGGTTGGATGCTCCCTAAGGGGCTGGGGGTGCCGGGGCAGGGGCCCCGCCAGGGAGGCAGGGGGTGCCCAGGTCACCGGAGGGTCTCTAGGCTGGTGATGCTCCGTCTGCAGCAGCTGAGATGATGATCTTCATGCAGCTCTTCCTTGCTGTACACAAACTGAGCAGCTGCTGGATGCTGATAAACTTGGGGGCAACCAAGGTCTGGCTTTTGCTGAAGCTTTGAGCTAGGTCAGCCTTTTTGGAGGTGCTTTTATTGCTGAGTGTGCAGTCAGGTAACGCCATCAGGATGCTGAAGCTGGGTGACCGCTGGGAGATAGCTGCTCCCATGACTTTTTCCATCTCTTTTCCCTTCCAGCCTGGATCCCTGCTGTTACCGCTTCAAGATAACAAACAAAGGACGGCGCACCCATTGGCTCTACTGGTCAACAGCAGGTTCTGGCTCGTTTCGCCAGCGTCATCGTGTCCCTGCTGTCAGCACCAGCAAGGGCCAAGATTCCTCCCAGAGCCCCAGACCTGCCCGCCCTGTGTTTAAGGTTCAACCACTGAAGGTGGAGCTGATGCCGGGCAAGACTACGGAGATGGTGCTGGAAGCCTTCTCCAGCACTCCTCAGGTGAGGTCCCCCCCGAGGGCTGAGCCTTCCCCATCAGGAGCAAGTGCTTTCAAGAAACTGTTCTAACACCATAAGTTACCATGGCAGCACCAGCTGCTTTCCTTGCTGGCCACCGTCAGTTCCTAAGGCTTTTTCATGTTTCCATGGCTGCTGTAAACCCAACCTGCTGATACCAAAACACGGACTGAAGGAGATATTGCTCCTTCAGGGGCAAATGGCAGGTTACAAGGTGTCATGTGCTGAGGCAGAAAGGAAGGGCAGAGAAAATAAGTTACGCTTAGACTAGGAGCACAGGCAGAAAGTAAATAACAAAGTGCAAAGTAATGTATATGGGGGAAGCAGTGAGTAAAACAAAACACCTGTGAAGGGAGGGAGTGTCTGGGAGTAGCATCATTTTTCCTCTGTCGACAAACATGGGCAGAGGGCTTGTCTAGCACTGAGTCCTGAAGCAGAAAAATGAACACAGTGTGTCAGCTGTGGTGATCGGGTGATGTTCATCCACGTGGGAAACTGTTTGCAGGGATCGTTATATTTGACAGCTTGACTTTGTCAATTTTTCCATAACGGCTCGCCCCAGTCTCTCAGCCAGTCCCAGGGTCCCAAGGGCAGCCAGGTCTCGCCTTGGATGGCAGCTCAGAGGAGGAGATTTCAGCAGGGTCACGGGGTGTTCTCCTCCCTGGACTCTTATTTCCAGGGGACACCCTACTCTGCAGAGAAACTTCCAGCTAACCCTGGTGTGCATTCCCTCTCTCCAAGACTGCTGGGCACAGATGTTTAGGCAAATGTGGAATAAATCTGCATCAAGCTCCTGCTGATTCTTGTGTTTTGAAAGGTGTTTTAAAGGGCTGCCTTGGTAGGTAGCTTGAGGAATATTTGACTACTCACCTAGTTGACTGCGATGGGACTGTCTCTGTGCAGTTCAGAGCCCAAAGGTTTTGTTGAAGCAGGGAAAAGAAAGGAAGGAAAGTGATCAGGATGCTGGAGAGGCTGTCCTCCTGGGAAAGCTGAAAGGGGATCTGTGAGCTGAGCTGTGGCTACCTGGTTCCTGCAGTCAAAGCCAAGACCCTGGGAGTGGCTTTCCACCTTCCTCGGGTCTTGAGAACTTAATACTCTTGATGTCGGTCAGAAGCCCAACTCCCTGCATCGCACATGCAGCACAGATGGTTTTGAATCTTTAGTCTCTGAGGAGGAGTTGTGGTGTTGTAGCAGAGGGAAGAGTGAGAAATGAAGGGAGGAATTTGGGGAACTGAAACCATGAGAAATCAGGAAAAAGTCTTAAGAGCATCCAGCTTAAGCAGAGGGTTTTCATGTAAACTGCAAGATATCTCTTTCCTGGGGAGGTTTCTTTTAAAACCAGCTCTAGGAGGGCACAGTACCTGCTAGGAATGAGTGGCCCCCTCTTTACCTGAAGGCAGTCGTCCTATTTGGGTTTTTCCCATGGATCCTGTCCTCTAAGCTTCCAAGGGAGGGTTTGCTAGCATTGGCCCTTCTGTCACCTGTTTCCCTTAAGGTAGTTGCATTTTTTTAGATTTTTTTTTTTTAATCCGTTCCTACAGCTTTCTGTAAGTATTATGCTTGGCAGTGGGACAAATCAAAACTAATAATTTGGGGCAGGGACTATTACAATTGTAGGCAGCACATGACTCACGAGGGCTTTTTGTGGATAGTGGGGTGTGGCATTACGGACGTTTGAGAGCAGAATAAATGGGATACAGCATAGAAAGAAAAGGGGGCTGTTGAGGAGCCCAGTGGCTGTAACCTGATGGTGGTAATAGGGTCTGTGGTTGGGTGGGTAGCAAACGCAGTGCGATTGGGGATGCCCTGCTGGGCCCTGCTGGGTGACGGGTGACTCCTCCCTGCAGGTGGTGAAGGAGCGGCTGCTGTGCCACGCCGTCGTGGGGAGCAAGGCAGAGAAGGCTCCGATAATGGAAGTGGATGTCACCTGCGAGTTCATCGCTCCCGTCCTGCAAATGTCCTCCAGAGAAATCACTTTCTGGGTGGAGAAGGTAAGTCTCTGGATTTCATCCTGGCATTGAAGAGCATGGCTGGTGACTGAAAGCCTGGTGCGGCGTGTGCTTGTGTTCAAAGGAGGAAGTTGTATGGCTTCTCCAAGTCCCTGTGGCTTTGACTATTGAGCTGAGCGGGACCAAGATTTTGCCATTAATACTGAGATCAATATTTCGCCCCTCTGGGATCGGGAGCAGTCCCACCAGCTGTATTCTGCCTTCTTGATGTGGAGGCAGAGTTGAGCTGCTGAGCAAAGGGCACAGGGAGAGATGTGTGGGACCCACGAGAACAGCGTGGGCTTTGCACAGCCACCTCGTGTGCTGGGGCTGCAGGTGGGCAAGCAGAGTGCTGCAGCTGAGCGATGCTAAACCCCCTCCTCACCCTTCCTGAGGGGCTTCATAAAGTAAGCGAGAGTGTTTTCAGAGATGGGACTGGTTTTTAACTTCACCCAAGTAAAACAGAGAGAACAGCTGCTCTGCCGAGGGGGATCATGGCTACTTCTAGAGAGACACCAGTTCCTGTACTTGGTGTGAAGGGAGGCTTCTGAGGATCCTCCAAGGCACGGTGATGTCTGAACACCGATCCTGTAGGGAAGCTGAGAAGAACTGAGATTCCTGTCAGCTCTTCACACTGATGAGAAAAACCTGTCATTTTGTCTGTTTGCCTTCCCTGCTCTTGGCATGGATGGTAGCTCTTTGCAATTCCCCAAGCTTCACCTTCTTCAAAGGACCTGCAGACATCCTTCAGCTGCAGTGATGATAACGCCAGCGCAAAGCAGGTGCCCCTTAGCCTCTGGATCCTGACTCCTGCATCACTTTTCCCTCTCCCGTGAGGTGTCTGAAAAAGAGAAGATATTTCATTATTTAGTTTCTGTGTTTTCAGGCCTCTCCTCTGGTTCCCAGGCTTCCAGAGAAGCATAAAATCCTGTGAGCAGGCAGTACAGGTTTAATTAGAAGCTTTTCAGCTATCCCTGATGCCTGCCTGTGGTCTGCTTGATGCCATGTGCCGGGATTTATTGAGTGTTATGACACTGCAGCTGTTTGATATCAATACATCCAGAACAAGTTGCCCAAACACTGTCTAGTTTATATAAACCATGCAGGAAGCCCAGAGCAATGCATAAACAGGAAGAAATAGCTTAGGCAGAGCTGAGCTTTGAGGCTACAGACAGCTTGTCACTGGAGCAGGGGCAGCAGGACACTCGTTGCAGCCCGACTGTTGAGGTTTCTCGCTGGCTGTATGTGCCTGTAGATGTTCAAAGCCAACCTTAGGCTGCTGCAGGCTCTCTTCTATGGGCCAAATCCTGCTCGCTTTTCTCCTCTGACCAGCATCACTGCTCTTATGAGGCTACTAGAGCTGACAAGGTTGTAAGAAATGACTGTATGTGAGTGAAAATCATCTTGTGCCGTTCTTCTCGAGAGGATAGAAAATGGAGACAAGTGCTCTGGGTTCACTTTCTGCTATTGGTCTTGTTCATGCAGCTGCCTCCTCTCAGGGTCCTATTCCCTCCTCTGTGTGCCAGAGTCTTTCCCTGTCCCCGGGGGATGCTGTGGTTTCTAAACATGAAAGGATCTGATATACTTAAGAGAAAAACCACCTAGAAGGATAGAAACTAATAAAAATAGTAAATAGAGGTGTATGCACTTCTGGGGTTGAAAAACTTGAAATGCATCAGAAAGGGAAGGAGTTCCGTGGCCACTTCACATTGTTTTTTCCCCTTGTGTCCTGTTTCTGTAGCAACCTGGTGATGTCCTAACTCTGCAGCACCAGTCTCTTTCTTTAAGAAACGCCTCCGCCCTGCCACTCAGAATCACCCTGGCCTTAGAGCAGCCCTTCTTAATCTGTGACGCGGAGCAGCAGCCCCTCTCTGCAGACGCTCAGGTGAGCAGCCGTGGGCCTTCCCGCTGTGGGGTTTGAAGAGGGGGGGTGTGGTGGTAGGTTTCTGTTGGGAGGTCCTCTAGTAGAGAAGTTTATTCTTTAGATTCAGCAATAGACTGGCCTGAACTAAGTCAGACTTGAAACAAGCTGCTGAAGGAAACTAAATATCATCTGAACTGGGGAAATACACCCTGGCTCTAAGACGTGAGGAGAGGGGAGCAGGCAGCTAGGCCTGGGCAAGCCGTGTATACCGGTGTCTCTTGGAAGGCATCGAGCTCTCCAGCAGCTGTTCTCAGACACCCTCCAGAGCAGCTGGCTTTCCTCAGGGGCAGCCCTGCCTTCAGGAAGGCTGAGGAGGCTCCTCCAGCCACTGCCTGGCCCCTGCCCTGTTGTTGGCGGAAGGGGTTGGACGTGGGCTCTGCTAAAGGTTGTAGGCACGGCCACCGCTTCTGTGCTGTGCCAGTGACTAACCCCTGCAAGGGTGAGGCTGCAGTGCCATGCTGCTTGTGCTGGGAGGGCAAAGGAGTTCCTCTAGAGCTGGGGCAAAAGGCCCTGGTGTGCCAAGTGCTGCTTTAGTTGTGTATTTAGCACATGGCTCCTGTGGGTCCCGAATTGAGCAGTAGAATATTTCTTTTCCTTGTGTATTGATGCAGAGCACAGTGAGATGAGCCTGAGATAGACAGAGCGTGGTGGGGCTTGCAGTCAGGCAGACACTGTGAAGAAAACACAGGATGAACTGAGAAGCCTATGCTGTGGTCACACTTTGAACATTTCCACATTTTCTGCTGCCAGACCTTGGGACTTCATCACACTGGTGATTAATACTCTTCATTTCCTTGCAGCCCATGAAGCTGGAGATAGGGGAGGAACTTCTTCTCTCCATCAGATTTAACCCTGCTTATGAAGAGGATTTGTGTAGCCGGGTAGTGGAGAAGGTTCTAAAGATACAGTTTCTTGAGCATCCTCATGAGGAGCAGGTCACCGTTCGGGGAGAAGTCTACTTTCCAAATCTCCATATCCAGCCCACGGCCCTGGACTTTGGCTGCCTCTTGAACAACACCGAAGGTGTGCGTTACATCGAGATGACCAACTGCAGCCCGCTTCTTGTCAAGTACCACTGGTCGTTCCTGATGGACAGCCGCGTGAGACAGATGAGGTATGCGCCCCTTTGCTCTCTCCTTGAAGCTCTTCTCCTTCTTCGTGTCCCGTTTGTGCTTTGCAAAGACCAAGGCTGTTTGCCTGTGATCTGACAAATCGCTTTCAACTTTCCCTGGGGGAGTAACACCTCCCAGCCGTGGTCGGGCTTAGGTGCTCAGGGAATAAGTGATCACCGTTTTGATGCTGGGAAGGAGACAACGTTCTCCAGCCAGGCTTGGGCTGTGAGATGCTACCAACACTTCCTGCATTGTCCATAACCTAGAGTCCTGCTTTATTTCTGCAGCTACAAACCCATACCTAGGCACTGGGACAAGCAGATATATGATTTTTCTTCCCTGCCAAGCCTATGTATTGTCATTTTACACTAAGAACCTACACAGTCTCTTGCTGCTGCTTTACTGTAGCCCCCATACTGGTTCCCCTGGGAAGGCAGGCTGGTGTTGGAAAGCTGCTTTCTCAGACCTTTGTGGCCTGAGGCTAACACCACGCTGGTGCAGTGAGTTTTCATCTGTTAAACTGCACATCACATTCTCCAAACAGCTATTTAGTGTCTTACAGGGAAAGGGCAGGTTCTGCTGCAGCTGTGGGTGCAGCTGTAGGTGTTGGTGGGAGCACCTGTCTGAACGTCCTGGGAAGCAGGGCCAGCCAGTGCTGGGCTGTGGCTTCCAAGCCCAAGAGCAATCTTGCAGTTGTGCTGGAGCACATTTATAAACACATTACTAGCAATTCCTCCCACTGTGGCCTCTCTGCTTAGTCAAAAGTCTAGTCTGGGCAGTTTTAATTACAGTAGCAAATGTTTTTTCCATAGTGCCCTAGGAAACCCAGCAAAGTTAACCATTGTGTGTTGAAGTGCTGCCATTAAAAGTAATAGAGATCATCAATAAACAGGTTTGTTTAGGGAATTTGGATCTGGCTCAGAGGAGACAACCTACTGGGAACCTGAGATTAGCTGTGGTGATGAGGAGAGCTTGGGGAGAAGACCTGGGCATGGGGGTAGCCTGCTCACAGCCAGATCTTACCGAGTAACAACCAGTCTTTAGTGTGGCCCTTCTTGATGCACGGCACCTGCCAGAACAGACCCTAAAATGCAGAGGAAAGCCCACAAAAGCAGGTGGAGGGAGATGGGCAGGGAAGGAGGAGCAGAGCTGTAAGCCCAGCCTGGAGGCCCCTGTCATCTCCTGATGAATTAGATTAGGGTTTAATTGCAAGCCAGAATGAAAATCTAATTTTGATGGTAGACCAATGCATATATTTTATAATAGGAGAGAAGCAAGCACATTACAGCAAAGCCTGTGTGGAATTAATTCTTCTGGGGCCACTTGCTGGCCAGTTGCCTGTCTATCTTTACTCCTTTCTTTCTTTAGAACCAATTTAAAGTTTTGGAAATGTGAATGCTGAATCAGCTTTCAGCTTTTAATTACCCCATCTCCACCTAAACTGGCTTTGGACCCGAGCCTGCAGGTGCTTGTTCTTCCAGGGGATGCTGAGTCACCCAACTCTGCTGAGTCGGTAGCAGTTGATGGTCCTGAGCATCTGGCAGGATAGCAGCCTCTGCTCCGAAGGGCGTGGAATAGCCCCTTCACTGGATCATTAGCTGTGGGGACGTTGTGGCAGCTCCCTTTTCTGCTCTGTATGTAAATTAATCAGAAATGTACTTTCTGTGGGTCCCTCAGCAGACACCATGTGATTCTCCATGGCAGAGCTGGAAATGAAGATGGTCTCCAAGCTGTTGACACCTCAAGTTGCTCATTAAGAGCCTGGCAGAAGGGCAGCATGTCAGATATTATTTCTGGTCCACATTAAGAACTGTTAGTATTCTAAACTATCAGATCAAACTCACCCAGATCTGACAGCAAGGGAATCAAACACCAGGTCTCATGAAGGTGAGATCAATAGAGTTTAACCATCCATCCATCTGACCTTGCTGGAGCCAATCATCAGAGACTCCCACCATCAATCAGACACACACGTTTATTTTGGCCAGGAGGGAACAATGTTCCTCTGCCTGGACAAAACTGTGTGCTTAGATCTTTTTTGCTTCGAATTGTTCAACCTATTTTTCCTACTTACCCTTTAATCACTGCTGCTACTTTGAGTAGAGCAATTATATAAGCAACACAGTCCAACCATTGCTGTGTGGTTGGACGTGCCCAACTCACACCAACTCACGGC